TGAGTGTAAAATGTTTCCCGCAGATGATTTCTCTCCGCCAACAGTTGCAGTAGATTAATTGAAATCAGCATGACTTTCAGGCAACATAATAACGAGATCGAATAAGGACCTTCTCATCAAATTTGATTCTTCCATATGTTTTACTAGATTATTTGGCACACATTGTTATGGTTGCTAAAATAAAACCATATAACACAACTACTAATCCAGGTGGTTTATCCTATCACAGCTCAATTTGTAATCCAATTTGTTCCTCTAAAATTATTTAAAAATCATGTCGGACTGCAGTGTAAAAAAAGTTAAGGAAATTATTAGATTAACATTTTTCATAGCCACAGACAATAGATTTGTTACAATACTAAATTCAGAACTTTCTGCCTAATGCCATGATTAAAAGTTTATATTTATGACAAACTCATAACACTTGACAATGAGTTAGTCAAGGTGTTCCACAAGGTTGTGCGCTTGGACTGATAATTTTCTGTGATTAATTTAGGAAAGATTACTTAATAACTTGACATAATTCAATGCTTTGTAGTTGACACTGGAGTAAATTTAGCTAAAAAGTCAAGTTGTGCCAATAATCCATCTATCCATCTATTTTCTTTACCCTCTTGTTTTTTTCTGGGTCAGGGAGAACTGGTGCTTATATCTCCAGCAGTCACTGTGTGAGGGGTTACACCCTAGACATGTTGGAAGTCCATCACAGGGCCACACAGAGACAAACGAGACAGACACACTCACACACACAGGAACAATTTAGTTACAATGAACCCCAGAGAAAACATACACGTGCATGTAAAGAACACGAAACCTCCACCCAGAAAAGTTCCAGGCTGGTAAATAAAACTAGTTCATGCATTTGTTGCTTTTAGACTCAACTTTTGTGATTCCTGATTATTGTGATGTTCAAATATCTTTGTGAACAGATAAAATTAACTAAAATGCTGCTATGATACTGTTAATGATAAAAATGACTCCAATTTGAGCTTCTTTATTTTATTTATTTTTGTGAACAAATAATAAAGAATTATTTTTATTGCTGCCCATTTCATTGACCAAGTTATGTAAAATGCTCACAATTTCCTAATAAGTTTTTTCCAACAGCCACTTTTCAAGAGTTGGTGCATGAAAAGTGCCTGTTCTATTTTTATTATTTTTTACTTTATTCTCACTGCTGCCTTTTAATATTCCACGTTTTGATATTCAAAAATTCTTGTATCTGCTCCGAGCAACAAATATAACAGCATAGGTAGAGTATTTAATGGGTACAATATGGGACACCTCCTCCCTGCAGCCGAGGTCTATAGAAACATAACTCATTGTTCACAGTCTCCTGAATCGGCTTTAACAACAAGAGTACCTTGTTGTTCTACCCTCGTCCGTCAAGGGTAGAGCTTGGTATATAAAGGATCTGCCTCTTGTATCTTGAGGACTTTTAGATCAAAAGTACAAACCTGATCTACTCAGTAGGGAAACTAATGCGAGATGAACAAGTGTTGCAACTAACACAAAGTTTCAGATATATTTATACTTGGGGGTGCATTTGCATAGCAGCTACTTAGGTGACCACAACCACTTCCTCGAGCATGTGTTTGTTGCACACTAAAAAGAAGACGTCCATAAATTATTATCTTATAAATGTGGTTAAACTTGGCAGGTGGAAGGGAGGGGGTGCATAAAGTTCATAAATTAAATTAAACTAGAACAACAAAATGACTTTAGTGCCTGTAACAACATAAAGGAACATTTTTATTATTTTATTATGTAAATAACTATTAGTGTCATATTGTTTTGGATCCCTACAATAAGCTCTATCAGAAAGTACAGCAATACAAGTGTTGATTTGACTACATTAACCTTTATAAACATTTATAAAGTCATGCTGAAATCTTAGCTTGTTTTTAGGCAGTTTTTGTGTTTAATTCATGCTGGTACTGACACATATTTAATAACCAATCCACTTGCAGCTAAAAAGCTGACAACACTGGAAAGGTTAAACATTTTGTTAACAAACAGAGCAATGACATCACTGAAATGTCACGATGGATGACGTCAACACACATGCCATGTTTACGAGCTGCTTCCTCTGTCAGGAATGCAAGTCAACAGTAGACCTGTCACAATAACAAATCTTGCTGGGTGATTAATTGTCTCAGAAATTATTGCGATAAACGATATTATTGTTTGAAATTTGACAATAATTAGTAATTATTGTCAAATTTAAAAAGAAATGTTGGTTTGAGCGTAGTACTTTTTTTTTGACCATCGGATGATAGTATAAGACTGTTTGAACCTAAGGATGGATAGTGAGGGAGCGAGCAGCGTGTGTCTAAGAAAAATGGGAGGGAGGCCAAATGACATGACATGGGCTGTCTCTCCTTCCTTTTTTCGGTTCTCAAAATGGCGAATGCTCAATGTGGTTTGAGCTCTTTAGCATAGCATTTTTCACACAAAGCTTTTAATAAAAAAAATCAGTAAACAAGTTCTCAGCTTCTTTTTGCAGAGAAAAGCTTTTTACACGAAGGCACGGGTTTCAAGAGGGAATTTTGGAGCTTCAACAAGACGGAGGTTTTTCCCCCCCCCGAGGTCGGCCCGTTAGCTTAGCTCGTAGCTTAGCTTCTCCGTTTAGCTGCTTTTAACAATCCAAAAACACGATTTTGGACGGTTAAAATGGCTTTTAAAGAGAAAAGGAGGGGTCAGTGAAGAGCACCGGAGTTGAGCCTTTTGCCATCCAGTGTCTTCAGTAGAAAGAGAGAGACACGAAGAAACGATAAAGCCGATAAATGAAAATGAGGTCGATAATTTGCATTTTTTTATGTGATTAATTGATTAATTGATTTATTGCTTATCGTGACAGACCTAGTCAACAATCAGGGGCTTTCTGCAAAGTTCACCCAGATTTCATGTTAATCTGACTTGATTATGAAATTAAATGTTAAAAGTAGACAGAGTTTCGTAATATATAAGTTTGGTCTCTTTAATGAGTAAAATATGTTTAAATTTTGTCTGTGATATTTACGTAGATTGTAAAACTGAAGGCTTATTTCCGATTACAACCATTCTTTTTATGTCACTTCAGATTTTGCCCGAAGACTTTAAACGTTATGATATTCCTTAATATTATTTTCAGGCCCATCCGGTGAATCGTGGATAGCACTAATTGTTTTTTCTGCAGCTCTACATTCAGTTGGCACTTTTTATTTTTGTCATATGGAATATTTTACCTTACAGGGACTGTCTTGAGCATTAAGCAGACTGATGACAGAAATGTAAAGAAAACGTGGGGTCACCTTGGCACTTATCACCAATAGGAGCGTTGCATCATTATTGAATGCCACCAGAAGGTGAAGGTAAATGTTTTTGCACTACGTGAGTGTGTCTGTTACCAAAATACCTCATAAAACACTGGATGAACTTTAATAATACTTGAAGAAAGTGGTAATTGGATAGAAATCTACAGTAATTAACTTTTGGAGTCAATTTAATTTAAGATGGCTGCCACAGCTAATCAACATTAGACAACAAAAATGTCTAACTCTGCCACTTTTACAGGTACTGAGCTAAAATCTGACAAAGTAGTTGAGCCATTCACAGCACATACTCTGAGCATGACATCTCACAATACTACAAGAGTCTGAGCATAATGTTAGTCTCACGGTTTGACCAAAACAACTATAACCATTATTTCTCAACAACAGATGATTTTAGTCTAAAACTCTGGCATTAAAAGGCAGCAGATGAAATGCAATCACTGAAGGCATGCTAAGTCTTTGATTTAATTAGAATTTCTCTGTTCTTCTAGTGATAATATTTTGACAGTGAAGTGGATTGATAGTAGGACCACATGAAGAAGCTTCAAATGTTGCAACAAACCACTTGAAGCTACAGAAGAGCTCTCGTCTGGTTAATGGCAACAGCTTGTAAACAGATCAAATAAACCAATAAAACACAGCGGGAAGCGCTGCTAACTGTCAACGCTGAAGTGTGCTGGTAAGAAAATACATCTGCAGTGACAGTTATTCAGTAAAAGCACAAGAATGAGAGAGATGTGAGAATTTGGGGCTTTTAAAATATGTTCTTAAAACAATCTGGCTCGTACAAGGATTTCTATAGTTTTCACGAGTAAACCTAAAGCGTGTGTTTGTAGACAGAGAAGTCAGATCTTTAGACCACAGGATGACTTTCTGTGCAGCTTGCTGCAAGTTTCCTCAACTCATCTACAGGTCATGGTTATGTACGGAAAAATCAGCTTCTTAGTTCCAGTTTAATTCATTATCTGTACAAATTGTACCGTTCTCTAACGTGCATCCATCAAAATGCATAACGGGCTTCTGCAGATACTTGCAAAACGTGAGGGCTCGGAGAGAACGTAAACACGTGACGCAAGCTCGTTTTCTGACGTAAAACAGACACAGGCTGCCTGTTTTCAGTCAGGAGGAATGGGGGTAAAAGTGAAGTAGCAGCAAAATGTTTCAGCCTCGTGTTAACTGCGTGGAGCAGCTCGCCTCAGTCGTTCTCAACTCAGCTTTGTTTCTGCTAAACAGAGACCTCAGGTCAGGCAGGCGATCCAGCTGCTGCCACGGGAACCTTCCTCATCCCTACTTGACCTGCCGAACACCTTAGGCTCAAAACAAGACCCTCTCTTTCACTGCAGGAACAATGAGACCATTGAGAGGACACAGTTCCCGACGTCAAGAAAACCACAATTTCCCAGAGTTACCTTCTTCTGGGACAATGGGGCTTTTTTGCTGAAGCCATCCCATGACACGCATTTTGATGACGTGGGAAAAAAAAAAATCACCAAGCATCATTACCTTTCAGACTTTGAAAGAAGACACATGGAGTTCAGTTCACTTGAGTTCAGCTGGGCCTTTTAGCACCACAAAGGCTGTAAAACCAACTAAATCTAGACTTTTCTGCTTGTATTCACCCTCACATATAGACTATAAATCCCAGGCATGCATGCATGCTGAGCAGCAGCTAATAAAAAGCTCTACCTGGGTGTGTGCGTCAAGGTGAAGCGGCGCTGCAGAGCGATGCTCCGGCTCATGAGGAGCTTGCGAAACAGCAGCGGAGAGTTGCGAGGAGAGTCACAAGGAGACATCCTGGGGGATCCGCTGGGCGAACTGGACGGAGTCTGTGGTCGGAGCTTGATGGGATGAGAGCTGCTGAGTGAGAAGGAAACAGCTTCCCCAGAGCTTTCCCACAGAGCCTCGCTCATCCTGCAGTGTGAGGGTTCAACAAACCTCCCCTCTTATGCTGAAGCGCCTCGCTCCTGACAGGTAGTCCCAGTCAGCCATCTCAGAGAAGCTGTATTCTTCAGGAGAACAAAAACTGACTCACAAGCTTGCCATTTAACAGTGCATGTCATATTCTGAGACACTTGTGATCTACGTCTGCCCTGCGGCTTGGGAAATCTTCAGCACCTATTTCCATAAAGCTATGTGTAGTCCCTGTTGATGGACACAAGCATGAGTGCAGGCGTGAGCCCTCCCCTCAGCAGTAAGCAGTGTTTACACGGAGCCGAGCTCTGCCTAAATATGGCCAGGCCTGAATTACAGTGCTGTTAGCTCATGCCGCGGGTGAGCGGGCCGTGTCCAGAACTCCCTGCATGCAGGAGTGAACCGGCGACCGGCAGGCACGTTGATTTACATCCGTTTCTCTCCACAACTCTTCAGATACTGAGAGATTGCAGCTCTGCTCGTAAAGATGAATGCCAGAACCGATCTGCACTGGGAGGCCGCGGTTCAGGCAGATTTGCACCTCGCTCGTCACTGAGGCCCCTCACTGTCTAAAAACAGAGCCTGCTTGAGATAAAAGATAACAGGAATCCTGGAAATGTCATTTTAACTTTTACTGCTATCTTAAGTGTGCTTTTCCCAGCGAGGACAGGTGTCAGTGGAAAAACTGCATTTCATGTCTGACCTACAGTCAGACACACAAACCTCCTCTACCCAAAACACAACCTTGTAAATTCAGCCAAAACACACAAACCGACTAAATCTGTTTGTACCTAAACATTCATGTGATAAGCAGGAGGCTGTAAATAATCTGCTTTAATCAAACAATAAAAACACAGATTTGACCTTCTGCTTCACTTCAGACATCCAGAGATGATAAACGTTGCCAGAGTGTGTGCGTCTGAACTACGGCAGGAGTGTGTATCTGGATATTCAGTGCAGATGTGTTCACGTTGATAACAGACAAAAGTAAAGATGAGACTGGAACATCGTGACTCCGAGTGTGATCTCTGAACACATGTTTCTGCAGGATTCGGTTGAATCTGCACATCTTTTGTTTGTCTCAGTCTCTGTTCCACAACCTGGAAATGCCACTAAAAGATAGATGAAGAAGCTAATATGCTGAATCGTGAAGAACAGCATCACCCCCCGTGTTTAAAAGGTTTAAATAGTTTGCTGGAAGTCTCTCGTCCTTTTTAACATCTTTTGTGAGTGCAAAATGTTCCCCGCTGCGCTGCTTCTGCACTGCAATTATCTACCGATCTGATGTCAGTCGGGGTTTTATGATGCTGAAATCAGTTCCTGTGGGTAATGTGCTGACTTTTGTTCTGTCTGCTCACTTAAAATAAACACGAGACCACGTGTACAGGAGCAAATGTTACAGCTTTTGTGAATATCAAAAAGATGTGATTTATAATTAGGATATTTAAATGGTTTAAAATAAAATAAAAATAGTAATTGTGCTGATTCATTTTCTGCTGTGACGTAAAGGGGGTCTTGAATGTCGGGGGGGTGGAGGAGCTGGTGGACTAATTTAACTCCGAGTCTGCACAGGTGGCAGGGGGTCAGTGCAGAGGGCTCACCAACACAAACACAGCTGTTGTGTAAAGAGCTGCTAAATGAGACCAGTAGATGGCTCCAGTACACACACGCACACACACGCACACACACGCACACACACACACACACACACACACACACACCCTAATGAAGACAGACGGATTGTTTTTTTGTAATCATATCAGATTTGAGTCAATTATGTAGAAATATTATCCAATTCGGTGTTGCCAGCTCTTTTCTTCAAGCACAAATTTCATAATTACATTATTTATTTATAATAAAGTGGTGATATTTAAAACTGATCACGAAGTAAAGACTTGTTTACAATCCTCCTTAAAATTTATTTTAAGTCATTATGAATATAAAATTAAAATGTAATATAGTATATTTTTTATTTTCTATGCGTTGTTTTCCTAGTTGCAGCACGGTGGCGCAACTGGTAGAGCTGCTGCCTCTCAGCGAGAAGGTCCCTGGTTCAAACCCCGGTCCAGGGGCCTTTCTGGGTGGAGTTTGCATGTTCTCTCCGTGCATGCGTGGGTTTTCTCCGGGTACTCCGGTTTCCTCCCACAGACCAAAAACATGCATGTTAGGCTGATTGGTAACTCTAAATTTTCCCTAGGTGTGAGTGAGAGAGTGAATGGTTGTTTGTGTCGTTTGTCTCTATGTGGCCCTGTGATGGACTTGCGACCCGTCCAGGGTGTACCCCGCCCCTCGCACAGTGATTGCTGGACATGGGCACCAGCGACCCCCGTGACCCAAAATGGAATAAACGGGTAAAGAAAATGGATGGATGGAT